GGGGGGGGGGAGAGCGGGAGGGGGGAGAAAAGCATTGTTAAAAGTCTCGGACTGGTGATTCACTGACCACCAAATCGGCGACGCGAAGTCAATTAGCTGGGTAAAACCTGGATGGCCCTGGAACCAGGCATCCCTTCACCAAGCCAGTGCTGCACTTTTTTTTTCCTTTTTTTTACCTCCCTTCCTCCGCCCCGGGGCAAAGGCAGCGTGCCCACTATGCCCGGACAGTTTTGGGTTTTGTTTTGTTTTTTTTTTCTCCCGATAGCTCCCAAGCAGCAGCGTGTGTCGCGACGTGCCTTTAAGGAGCCGGAGCCTGCGTGTAGGCGACGGTGTCGAACCGGCGTCGGGGCAAGCTGCTGGGTTTTTGGGAGCCGTGGCAACCAAAATACCCGCGTTTAATAGCTGAGGAGGATGATGTTTCAGCTGTATTGTTTTGCTTGCAGATCAGCAAAAAACCACAGTGATTGAAAACGGTGAAATCAGATTCAATGGAAAAGGGAAAAAGATTCGGAAGCCTCGAACCATTTACTCTAGTCTACAACTCCAGGCTTTAAACCATCGCTTCCAGCAGACTCAGTACCTGGCACTTCCAGAGAGAGCTGAACTGGCAGCTTCATTAGGACTTACCCAGACACAGGTAATTACTGGGAATCCCAAATCACTGAAATCCTGCTCGAGCAATAAAGGCCAAGCAAAGTCCGATGCTCCCTAAATCTTTTTGGCCTCTCTATGGGGACGGTAGAAAAGGTAACGCACACGCTCCCCCGTCTATATCTGATAGGACTTATCTAATGCACGACAGAGAGCCCGGGCTACCGCAGAAGGGGCTGAACATGCCCTTCCCTCAGCCGCCCGGCGAGTGAACGCTCCCCTTTGATGCCACACGTAACATTTTAAAATTGCCTGTATTTTTCGGAGAATTCCAGCACCGAGATGTCATTGCCCAGCTGCGGAAAGGAGAACAAAACAAAGGCAAGGAATCGCTGGGCCTGAGGCAGAGCTAAAAGCAGAGCAAAGCTGCCTCGTAGCAACCAATAGGTAGAGGGGAAGCGGGAACACGTTAGGAAATACCTGTAAAATCAATAGTTAATTCTCCCTGGATGACTAACGCAAATGCAGTGGTTCCCCTTGGGCAAAATGTACGAAAGGTGATAATAGATCTGAAGATCAAAGACTGCCGTGTACAAAATTATGGCAGGTTAAGCCATAGTTAAGTGTGGTTGGAGTAGCTGTGCCATTCTGCTAATTTAAGCTTGAAAGACACATGAGGCATTACAGGCTTCCCAGGCTGGGGTTTGCGGAGAAGAGCGTGGATAGATGGGATCAATTCGGGTAAAATGTAATCAGGTGAATTTATGAGCTTAACAAATAACTTCAGGATTTTATCATTGTCATTGATAACAGTCGCTTCCAGCCAGCGATTTTTTAAATACTCAGCAAACATTAATCATGGGAATAGACCTGATGGTTTTGCAAATGGGATTTTAGTATCCTTAGCATGCACGCTCTCTCTCTGCTGTCTCGCTTTCTTCTCTCGCACGCCTGGGTTTAGGGGCCCGATCCTGAGCATGCAGCTAGACAAGCACCCATGCTTATGCCCTAACATTACGCCTGCAAAGTTTGCAAGGTCAAACACACATGTGGGAGTTGTTTTCTTTGATTCATTGTTAAGAAATACGTGTGTATATATGTCTTACATATATATAATTTCTGTAATAATTCTGATCTGCCAGAGTGGGCCCGATCCTTACACACCTCACCGAGTGCAGGCTGCCTCCTCGGGAGTTCTGCTGGATTAGGAGCAGGATGAGAAGCAAAGCAAGCTTGATAGCCAACTACACGCCGATAAAAGAGAATTTTCCTTTCTTTAAAAACACCTTTTAAAATAAAGCCACAATCCTGGTTCCATTGTGCCCCCTCCCCCGTCACATCAGCAAGCACCGCTTGATCGTGCGTATTTTCGGATGCACGATTTCTTTGTAAGATGCCCTTTGTCTATTGGCTCCTGTCTGCTGGCACAAAATCATATGATTGCCCGTGTTTGACAACAGTTTGCCCAAATGATCAAATGACCTCCAAAATTCTGAACGAGGCGTTAAAGCAGGAGAGCTCAGAGCATGTACTCTGTTTCAGCTCGATCAGTCCGGCCTGCCCAGGGAAAAAGAACGTTCCAGGTTAAAACCTGCATCCCTCTGGCTTTCCAGCTGCTCTCTGCCTCGCCTGTTCTCTCCAGCTGCATCCAGAGCCCAAGAGCAGCAGCAGCAGCTACCCCTCCTTCCCTTCCCTTCGCCCCATTCCCAACTCCACACCTGACTGGCGTGGGCTCTCAGGACCGTCTCTAGAGCAAACCCGCGGCCCCCTTGGGGGTCTCCCCCGTCGTGGCCTGGGCGCTGACGGCAGCCTAATATCTGCTGCGTTTTGGTTTACAGGTGAAGATCTGGTTTCAGAACAAGCGCTCCAAATTCAAGAAGCTGCTGAAGCAGGGCAGCAACCCCCACGAGAGCGACCCTCTGCCCGGCTCCGCCGCCCTCTCCCCTCGCTCGCCGGCTCTGCCTCCAGTCTGGGACGTTTCAGCTTCTGCCAAGGGAGTCAATATGCCTCCCAACAGCTACATGCCTGGCTATTCTCACTGGTATTCTTCTCCACATCAAGACACAATGCAGAGACCACAAATGATGTGAATTGTCCAAGAGAAATAATCTCCCAAGAACGCCTCGTCTCGACATGGCAAAATGTTCCCCTGCTTTGCCAAGCCGTGCCAGCTAACAGGCTCTGTGTGAACTTGTAGATGCGGCAAAGAGACAGAGTGGCTTTATTTTATTTTATTTTTTTTAAGTAACCTCAGCGATTGATCTTGAACAGAAAGACACAATTTTCATTCTGGCGCACAGAAGACACTTCTCTTTAGGATATTTTCCTTTGGACTCCAAGGCACCAGCCTCTTTCTCTGTGGAGTATACGTCAAAACAAACTTTTTACAGACTTTGCCCACAAGAAGAACCTGAATCTACCATGGCAGCCGTTTTTACTTGTTTAATGAGCTAAAGACATTACATGATGAAAGAGAGACTAGTCAAAGCTCCTTCATTTTTATTCACCAAATCCGGACTGGGGAAAAAAAAAAATTAAAAGCGAGAAGAAGGGATTTAAAAAAAAAAATGAAGAGGGAAAAAAAAAAAAGGAGAACTGGTTGAAAAAATGAAAATATACTGTAAGATTAGAACATTACCACGAAGCAAAACCTGCATGCTTTCTCAAAATGCAATGGGCTGCGGCTCAGAAGAAACCACCGTCTCTCCCGCGAAGAGCCCCCGCACCCGCACACACCCGCACACAGCCGGACACTCCCGGAGACGAGCAGGAACGACAGAGCGAGGGATCCGCGGCAACACCCGCCGCCGCGGTCTGGGGAAGGCAGGTTCAGCGCTGCCTGACGGCAGCCTCACCCGCTGAGCGAGAGGGACCTTTCCCCCGAGCAACCTTTCTGTATATATTGTTGAATTTTAGTTGTACATATACTTTGTATGTTTTTGTCTTCTTTCATATATAGAGTAAAAGCCACAAAACGCCCGCCTGGCTCCTATTTCTCCCCGCCTTAGCGGACCCCCACCTGCCCCGACCTGCCCCCTGGTTGAGCCCGGGCAGATGGACACTGTCCCCCCGCTCGGCTGCGCGCACAGACACCGCTACCTGAACACACATCTGCGGGCATTAAGGCTACGACTAAGACAGGAGATCCCGAGACCGCAAAGACAAGCCTAAGAAGACGTTTCTAATCACCCGGCTATTTCTGCTGCGATTTCTCTGCTGCTCAGCTGAGCTGAGCTTTCTCGCCGAGGCAAAGCTCAGAGCCCTGCCTTTCTTCCCGAAGCTTGGAGACTCCAAATTATTAAGAAAGGAGGCGCCCTCCTTTGTTTTTAAAGAGCAGACAATGCAAGCTGAGGAATGTTTTGCAAAGCCCTGAGAGGTGCCCAGGCACACAACACGCTGTCCAGCCAGCTCCAGCCTCACCAGCTTGTGGAAAGCACAGCGACTACTGCAAATCAAAAGCCCTTTCCTCATCCAAGCTGGGTGCCCCATACTGCGAGAATTAATGGCTAGAGACCTGGGCATCCTTCAAATTATGAACCTTGAAACCACTGAGCCATTTATCAGAAGTCAATAGAGATCCTCAGAGTGCTCCATATAATGACAGCTACATACAGTCGTGCAAAAGGACAGTCACTATAATTAGACACAAAGCAAAGACTACTTACCAATATACCAGTTTTTTGGGGGGTGTTTTTTTGTTTTTTTTTGAGCAACTTCCACGCTCAGTCAGTCTTCAGAGTGGTTTAAAACCGATCAGTCTTGTCATTTTCTACCATTCGTATTGTTACATTAGGAAAAATGTTTTCTTTTCTTTTTTTCCCCTTCCCACTGTGAAACTTTGGGTTCAGAGCTCCCCAGGATCAATTCTGAACAAAGCCTCCAGCTGCAGTGCCATCCAATTTGAAGCAGACATTGGGGACAATTTAAGGTTTTTATCCACAAGAAGGTTTTTTTCCATTCTCTTAAATGCAGCCATAATTAGAGTAATTTTTCATGTAGCCCGCTGATTACAGCGTTTTTACCGTCAAAGATAATTACCTGTAATTTTCTTCCACTTTTAATACTAAAAAGCCATCTTTATTTAGATTCAGGAACAGGAAAGGCGAAACAAAAGAGGAAAATTATTCTGTTATTCATACACAAATTGCAGAGACGTAGGGCCTAAAATTGAAAATTAACCAAAATTATAATGCTGAAAAGAATGGAAGAGGCTTCAGAAGTACAGCTGGTAGTGGGGCTCACTGAATTATTCAAATGACACTGGAGAGAAAGCTACCATACATTTAAACCAACAGCATTGTGTGTCGTTGTGTGTGTGTGTGTGTGAGTGTGAGTGTGTGCATCTTTCAGAAAACCCCTCTTTGCACCCCCTAAGTTGGTCCCTGTGAGGGCTCACCCTCATCCCCGCAGAAGGGCGACGGGTAGCCCGGTGGGCGAGCCCCGCAGCCCGGGGAGCACATCCTGGCGGGTCCCGGCCCCCACAGCCCCCGCAGCCGCCTTAACCCTTTCGCGGCAGCCCCCGAGTGGGGATGGCAGGCGCCGTGTGGTCCCGTGTCGTCGTGTCCCCCGTCCCCCCCCCACTGGCGGGCCCTGGGAGGGGTGGGAGAGGGGTGGACTCGCTGCTTCCCGTGGGCTTTCGGGGGGCT